GCTGATCACATTATTTTGTGAAGAAAGCAACTGTACGAACATGAATTGCAATTGCTCGACATTTATTTCCGCTTCAAGGCGTTAACATTTAAAATAGGCAATATCTGCCTGTAATACCAATACACATACATGATGCAAATTGCTATGTACGAACATGAAAACTCAGGAACATAATTCTGCGAAACTCAAAACCAAAATACATGTAATATAATCCTATCTGCAATATCAAACTGTGAGAATTAATTTTTCAGAATAATCCTGAGGATCTCTGGTCACGTGATCACCAGAAAGGATAGTAGCTCCTCCCGGTAGCCCCCCCCAATTCATGGGGCTCTGAACGTGATCCACCAGCAGGATAGTAACTCCCGCTGATATCCCCCTCTTCTTGGGGTTCCTGTCCCCCTCATCACTCCTAAACGCGGACGCGTATCCCGGCCTGCTTGGCCAAAGATATTGGCAGTCCCGCGTGTTCAAATTAAATTATATAAAATTCAAACCTCCACCCAATACCCTTTTTTTTTTTTTTTTTTTTTTTGTGATTAATTAATTAATTTATTATTATTATTTAAAAAAAAAAAAACTAGATTCAGCTTCTATACAGATCTCGTAAGATCTCCTACTTTCTCCCCCGGTTGCTGTAGGTATTCATCCTGACCTATTTAACCATACACCTATGATGTCATCATATGAACTATGCTCATTGCCGTTCACTTCTACACTTGTGTCATGCATTAAAGTTGGGTAACTATACATTTCATGTTGAGGTGTTAATGCATTTGCATTCTAAACTGTTTGGAGCTACTCCTGCTGCGCGAGGAAAGATAGGGGCAAAACCGGCTATTGTGATTGGACTTAAAGATCCGTCGAGCTAGCTACATTTCGTAGTCGGGGAAAATTCCCCTATGGCCCACTGGTTCCTGAAACATTTAGTGCGACCAAGTCTTACTGACTCCAGTCCTTGCCAGCAGACTCAGGCTCCCTTATCACTAGACAATTATAATGTAATGCCATGTGACTTCAGATTTTCCAGATTCAGAATCAAAACATTTCCACCTCATAATATAAACAAAGCCAAAATACATTTACATTGACGAATCATACATCACCCTTTTACATGCGCACTGACTGCCTTATCCCCAGAGGTTAACAAATTTGTGTCACAGTATATATCTTTTATAGATTACTTATTGAAACAAGCATGACTTGACAGTACAGAGTTATATATTCAATGTATCAGAATCTTCCACGACTGAATTACTTTTCAGTGTGTAATAGTATTTCTCATGCCTCCCGTTACCTGGATATCATCTTATATTTTCAAACCCAACCTCATGGAATAACCCAAATATAACTCAATTCAACTAATTGACTTTTGTCGCTCACTTTAGGTTTTCATAGAATACTATTGACATTAGGCTGAATCTGTTCAGAGAAGGCCAGTGTCCTTGGCTGCAGATTCGAATTTATCGATGAGCATGTCCGAGCCCACATCTGAGAGATGAATTCCATCCCTATGGAACAGACTGTGCTCTTTGGTATCTATATTGTGCACTATCATTGATGTGTTCACCATCTGGGAGATTCTCCTCTTTGCGAATTTGTTAAGTGACTTCCGCACACCATCCATTGCCTCTTGTGATGTTGGGCCTGGTCTGCTACCGTAGTAAAACAATCTTGGAAGAATACCAGACCAGGCTATGTGGGTTCCTGGCATTCTTGCTCGTAGAGTTTGAATTGCTGTATCGATTGCGATTCTGCAACGGCATGCATTTCTCTGACCCAAGTCGTTTGTTCCCAGGTGAACGATCGCCAGTGCAGGTGGTGCGTTGTAATTCAACCTATTTGTGACCATTCGGGGGAGGTCATGGAGAGTAGCACCTCCTTGACCATGCCACTGTACTGCACCCTTCTCTGCTCCCATGTGCAGGCGGTTCTGTGCAGTGGCTCGCTCTTTGGCCCTTCTTACGATACTGTCCCCCACTTTCCAGACTCGGTTGCGTACTCGTCCTGAAATAAAAAAGTTAAACTCCCGAAAGTAACATGTTCATATATTTGGGAAGAACAAAATATAAAATTTTCTTGTGAGCTTTATTTTCATAATTGTAATAACTCCCTAGTACTTAGTATGGAGTAAATGTAACTTATCTTATATAGCGCAAATAAACTTCACTGCGCCACCTACCCATCTTCCTAATTTGTTCTGGTGGCACCCCATTCAAGGCAGCTGTGGTAGCTGCCCCAATCCGGAAAGAGTGAGACCATACCGACTAACATTCGCCCCAATTTGCTGAATGTTCTTTTTCAGGACTGCACTGAACTGGTACCTTGTAAGGGGGGAGCCATTCTCATGACAGAATAGTAGACCCTCTACCTGTGGCCTTGCTTAACCCGAGAAATGTCAACCTTTTGGTAGGCCCCTCGGATTTCTCTGCCGCTAATGGAACCCCTAACTCCTCACAGATTCCTTTGAGAACTTGTACCATCTCGAGGCATGACACGCCCCCGTGCTCTATTGAACTAACACACAAGAAGTCATCAACATAGTGTATAATCCCGTTTGAGCCACTTCGCTCCCGAACACAATATTCTATGAATGTGGAAAAGGTCTCGAAATACGCTGGAGCACATCTGACCCCCATGGGCAAGCATTTGTCGAGATAATATTTCCCCTCAAATTTGACCCCTAACACCTCAAAATCTTTCGGGTGCATAGGCAACAATCGAAAGGCGGACTTAATATCCTCCTTAGCCAAGTCAACTCCCTTTCCAGCCTCGGCGACCATCTCAACCGCTGTATCAATCTAGTATATTCCACTTTACAATGCTCATCTGCAATAAAATCATTCACAGAGTATCCAGGCGGGTATGATAAATGATTGATTAATCGATAATCCCCCGGGGATTTCTTTGGCACCAGGCCAATTGGGTTAGTTCTCAAATTTTTTAGTGGCCTGGACTCAAAGGGACCTATGTATCGCCCTAGCTTAATCTCCTTCCGTATCTTCTCTTGTGTAATGTCCTTGTTATTTTCTGCTGATTTTAGGTTGGGTAAGTCTACTGGCATGCGAGGGCCTGTATAATTCAAACAAAATCCTTCTGTGAAACCACTTTCCAAAAACCTGGCTGCTCGCTCATTTGGGTAGCTTTTTAACAATTGTTGTAGGCTCTTTATTTTAATGGGTGACTTCCCCAAGGATATAACCTGTCCTGTAATCTGTACATCTCTACTGTTACTGTGTATTTCACCTTCAAGCCTGTCCTGATTTCTATTTTTTGTGTGTTCTATCTGTCTCCTAGGAATTGCCTTGTTTGGCTAGTGCTAGGGTTATATGTTCGCTTCCATTCCCTCCTGTTGGACCATGGGGCCGATCGCCCGAGTGGACGGTCTTGGCCACGAACTCCCCGAGGAGGTCCCCCTCCCACTACATGAAGGAGCCACAATTCTCCATCTATACCTGCCCAAGATCCACCTTTCTTGTGGTAGCGGTGACGAAATTCGATATCATAATCTCTCCACCCATACCCATAATAGCGCGAAGCAGCAGATCGAATAAGGTGGCAGTATTTCAGTAAGTCTTGTGCGCAATTCAAATTTGCTTCCAAAACAATGCTAGCATACACAAGAAATGCATTAGTCCACAACTCTATGGTTGCAATCTTATTCTTGGATGTCGCGCTGACAGGTTTCAATACCAATCTCCCGTCTTCCTGAGTCATTGCCAAATTCGTCCTTTGTTCGTCTCTAGCTTCCCACTGTGTGTGTGCTGTCACCTCTTGGGCATTCACTAACACATTAAAATCCACATACTCGCCTTTCCATATTTTCTCCCTAATGTTATTGGGAATGGCCGAGCCTAGTCTATCTCCAACTGGCCGTAGTGGGGATTGGGGCGGGGAGTCATTTACTGCGAACCCGGACCTATGCTCGGTATGTGGTACCGATGAATTACCGATACCTGTGTAGCTAGGTCTGCTGTTATTATCATACTGACTTCCGATTGGCCTAGATCTATATTGAATGCCTCTTGAGACATGCCCTTGATTCCCCGACTCCAAGTCAACATGGGGCACGATTGTAGGGAACGAAGTTAAAAGTGGGTTCGCCCCTGTTATGTGACTATTGTCTGCCCCTCTGTGTGGCCTGGGGCTTGTCGTACCGACCCCAGCACTAATTGCTGTGCAATTAGCCATAGATCTAACTTCGGTTGAAGTAGCATTAGTACTAGTGGGTAGATCAAGATCTAGATCTATCCGTACCTCACCTGTTGACTGTAACTGCAACTGTGATCCCGGCTGTGATGGTTGGGTATTCAGGGCTGCTGCTGGTGGTGGTGGGGTGCTCGAAATTGCTAGTGGGATGCCTGCTGCCGGTAATGCCGGGATCGCTTCAGGTAGGCCTACTCCGCTGTCTACTGTTAGCGGCCGAGACTGCACTGCCCGTGCCCTCTCTGTGCTGCTTGCCTGACGACAGCGCCTCGCCCGTCCATTGATGCTTGTGGGTGAGCCACTGCTGGCCGGAGTTTGCGCTGAATTGTTAGTTTTCTTGCTAATTGAGCTGGCTCTAGTGCCCTTCCGACTCTTTTCAGCTGTACTCTGTCTTTTCTGCTGGGCATTAGCACCGCCATTGGCGCACTCATTGGTCTTTCTCTTTCCCATTTCGCTATTTTTTTATTTTTTTATTTTTTATTTTTTGCAGCTCTAAAACAATCGACTGCCTTGAACGGAAAATGAAGCGAGAATGGCTATTCAAAGCGCGCTCATTTGCACGCATAACTTTGCCAAATTATTTCCGCACTAGAAAATGTTCACATGCACACCACATGAGTCGGATCTTTACGCGCATGTTTTGATACTTCTGACCCCAAAGTTTGTTGACCTGATTCGAACTCTTGCTTTTCCCAAAATGTGCTGATCAGTTTATGCTGATCACATTATTTTCATGCAAGCAAGCTCGAAAAGTAGCTCCCAGAATTTAAAAAGTATTTTTTTTCCTATAGTAATCAAATAGTTTGTCCAATTTACAAAAAAAATTGAGTGTCTTTTCTCTTTCTCTCCATACCAGAGTCTTCCCTAATGCATCTATTTCCAATCTAGCAGACTGGGGACATTTTGCTCGAAAGTACTGCTGGTATGTATGAAAATCAGAATCCTAAATGATAATAATATAATAATAATAATAATAATCTTTTACTCCAAATTTTATTGAGTTAAACCGAAAATGGAATTTCTTTTTGCCCAATTGATCGTGAGCCCGGCAGCCACTGAGCAGTGCCAGATCGACGTTGCTCTATCCCTTATTGTTGAACGCCAAACAAGGTAGCAGCAACTTCCGTCTTTTAACGTCTTTTGGAATGACGTGGCCGGTGTTCGAACCCACGCCCTCCCGGTTGTGAGGCGGACGCTCTACTGACTAAGCCAACACACCGATAAGCTACCAGTGTATACCAATAACCAATGGTGATTCAAAAACATTTAACCTTGTCGAGGACATCAGTCACTGCAACAAAGGTCTCATGTGTTCTCATTCATCTATGTCTTATAAGATACACTGAGAAAGTAAAGTTTTTTTTGCCTGATTTTTAATTCTTGTTTGATTGATTGTGGGCTGATTCAGTATGGCACATTACTTTGGTGACCTCTTTAACAGGAATCTCTCATTTCTCTGGTTTAGGGCCCTGTATAATTTATTCAGAGCGATTGACAAGTACAATGTATCCTCATTATTTGACCTACGTAAGCCCTAACTTCTCTCTTTTTCATCACTCTTGTTTCTTTAACAGCACTGCACTTTTGGAACCACAGGACCCAATGTTCAAGCAAGTTGGAAAGGCATTCATTGATGCCGTAAGTTAACCTGTTGAGTACTAAGATAAATAATACTAAAACCTCGGTCACAAATGCCATTACGAACTGCTGCGAACGCCGTACAAACGATTTTCAGACAATGGAAATTCAGAAAGACAATGGAAAAACAGAGATTCGTACAAATGCATCGTTCGTACGAACCTTTGTGACCGTAGCTTTCGATAAAATTGGTTAATGGAGATGTTTGATGGAGATTTTTTATTGATATTCCTTCAAAATATCAGGAGCACTTTTTGTGAGAGGAATGATTTTGATTGTTTTCTAAAAGTAGAGGTGAAGAACCATGGTAGCAAATCTAGCAGGAAACATGATTAGTGTGAAAGAGATGAAGGAAGAAAAACAGAAGGAACAGAATGAAAAGGATGATATTCAAACATCTCATCATGTTCATTTTGAAATCTTTACCTGTTTAGGATGACTTAGATCAAGAGTGCATATAAATCATATGTGTGTAGATGTAAGGTATTACTAAGGTATTACTTTAGAGATAAGTGTATTGATAGGTTTAATTTGTCACCGTAGTAGAGTAACAGCTGGAAAAATTACCACTATGATAAGCATATTGTGCATGTTGTTGAAAGAATCACTAATGTGTAGATTAGGTAAAGCAAAAGAAAGTCAAGGGTACAAAATATTGTCCTCCTACTATGCGTGTAATCAATGCCTCACCCTCGCATTTTTTCTTTGCTCGTTATAGATGTCTGAGGAGTTTAATGGTACTGATCATATCTACAACGCAGACACTTTCAATGAGAACCAGCCCAGATCAAAGTAACTACATGTATAACAGAATTTATCTTAGCTTTCAGTGAGAACATGCCTAATTCAGAGTAACCATACACAAAATTTCTTGGCTTGATTAGAGTTAGAATATGCCCAATTTAACCCTATCTGCACTAGTTTGGCCAGGAGGGATTAGACCTCCCTGCATGGTCACTGTCACTGACAGGTGGTCATCTCATCAAATCAGCTCTCAATTAACATAAGAAAAAAGGGACCATGGGGGACCAACGGTCACCTCTTAAGCATTGTTTGCTATATAGAGGGCGCTAGTAGCTTAAGTAGTGCAGTGGGGCTTAAAGTAACTATAACAAAAATTGTCTTGCTTTTTGAATATCTTGGCAGTAGGAAGTAGTTTTCCAATATTTCTTGAACCTGTCCTATGAAATGTACTTCAGGGGGGTGTTTCACAAAACTTCTTATCAGTGACAAATGCCAGTTTTTGTTAAAAGCTACAGAAATCCGTGCTTCTGATTGGTTATCAGCTGATTTGTCACTGATTTTTGTCATTTGTCATTGAAAAAAGCTTTGTGAAACAGGCCCCTGGATGTCAGCTGGAAGTGGTAGGGAGTAGTTTTTCTGTGTATAGAGCAGTAAGGCACTTTGGAGATGGCACTGTGCGTTATTTGGCTAATTTGTTATATAGCTGGTTTACTACGTTTATGTGTCAAGGAGACTTAAATTTTGATGTATTTTCTTACATTTCTCCTTTATCTTCTCCCACTCGTCAGTGATTCAGCTTACCTGTCGGCTGCCAGCAGGGGGGTGTACCAGGGCATCGTTGAGGGGGATCCCCAGGGGGTGTGGCTCATGCAGGGCTGGTTATTCCAGAAAACAGATTTCTGGGGCCCCTCCCAGATCAAAGCTCTCCTGCATGGTGTCCCTATTGTGAGTATAAATGTCTCCTCTAACAGACTCTACCTTATTATCTTTTTTTTGAAGATGATAAATATTCATTCAAAATTAAGCTAGATGGAAAGATAGTTGCTTTCAGTGTGTTTAACAGTCTTAGCTTAGTCTAAACTTTCCAGTATTATCATCAGTCAGTGGTATTTTTTAAGACATCTATTTGATCAGTTTCCAATATGTCCTCCATTGGGGTAAATTCAGATTGTTTTTCAGTTCATTGTTTAAGCTAAAGTGCTTCATGTTTTGATGTTTAACAACAAATCTTCATTGTCTCAACATCATTGTTCAGTTTATTCAGTGTTTTTAAACAGATGTTGTTCTCATGTTGTATCCATTGGTGTTAGATTTCCATCATTTTCTAAACTGGTGTTCAATCTTCACTGTGTATAATATGCTATGTTATTGAACTCACTGGCCCAAATTCACAAAGGAGGTTTAAATTTAACCCAGGGATTAAATCTTCATTTACATAACCCATGGTCTAAAATTAGCGCAAAGTAAGTGCAACACAGTCAGAGGCCCAATATGAGACAAGCACAAGGCAAGGTATGCTTATTGTGCGCTAATTTTCAAACCATGGGTCATGTAAATGAGGACTGATTTAAACCATGGTTAAGTTAAACCTCCTTTATGAATTTGGGCCACTGGGTTTTCCCTCTGGTGTACAATTTCATATATTTACACATTATTGTGTTCCATATATGTGACAGTGTTTCATCCATGATCGTTTAAATTCCAGGGTCGAATGATAGTCCTGGATCTGTTTGCGGAGGCCCGTCCCATCTACAATGCCACCCAATCTTTCTACGGTCAGCCATTCATATGGTGCATGCTCCACAACTTTGGAGGAAACACTGGTCTTTATGGGAAGCTGGATGCTGTCAACAAGGTAGGGGAAACCTTAGACATGTACAGTCAAACCTGTATATAAAGAACGCTCTAGGGAAACAGAAAGGCGATCATTACAGACAGGTGGTCTTTATGTGCAGGTTCTTTTAGTACATGTTTCAATGAGATATGCTTTTCAAGGGAAACAAAATTTAGTCTTTATATACAGGTGACCTTTCTGTTCAGGTGGCCACCGTATCAGTCATATCAAGAGAATTATGGCATTATGAAAAGGGTATCATGGTTGGTAGGGTGTGATACCAACCAAGATCTAGGGACAGATGTCCATGCGTAGCATGCCTTGCACAATGTCCTGAAAAGAGCCTGTGGATGCTAAGATCAGTTTGCAAGGTTGTAAGTCGGAGTTGAACAAAAAAAGTGAAAGATTATGAAAACTTATTTTAGATTCTTGCCTCCAAAAGTCTTTTATGTGTGTAATGTTTGTAATTTATTAGATATTGCTATATTTATATAATATTGACTGGCCTTGAGGGGTATATCAGAAATATTGACCAAGCTCAGATCATATTGCCCCGCGTCGAAAGACGAGGGCAATATGGTCTTAGCGCAGTCAATATTTCTGATATCCCCCGAAAGTAAAGCCAGTCAATATTTTTATTGTTATCCAAATCAGACATCTAGAGCAAATACAGACATCCACCATGACAATCTCAAGAACTGAACAAACTTTGTCAAACCAACACTGTGCATCCAGTGCTTGACAAAATTTTCGATACACTGCAAACAGTGTGTATTTGGTGTGATTATTACGTCACAATAGAGTGCGCGCAAAGTGCGCAGGTTCTCGTACGCATAATAGATGCGCAATGAAAATGCGACGCGGTCAATACAAGATGCCCGGATGCGAGACCTTGGAAAATACCAAGGTATATTTTCACTCGTCTCTACACGCAAAGTCAATACGCGCAGGGAGACCAAGGAAAATACAAAGAATATACCCCTCCGTTCCCACTGCTAGTGAAAACTAGGGCAATACGGTTTTGTAAATGACCAGCTCAGATGTCTGATACGGGTAATAATGGAGAATGTGTTCAACTGAGTCAATGAGTAATAGAGTTTTGATAGCTCTACTCATATATTTACACACAGTGAAATGTTGAGCAGGAGTGTGTTAAATTATGAGTCTACATGTATATTACATGTATATCTGCACATTCTGGGTTAATCTGTGTTTCGTAATAATGATATCATAAATCATTCTCTTTCATTGCAGTTTCCCTTTGAGGCCAGACAGTTCAACAGCTCCACAATGATTGGCATGGGATTAACACCAGAGGGCATACTTCAAAATTACGTCATGTACAACTTCCTGACCGACATGACCTGGAGGTCAGAGAGCATGAATGTCTCAAAATGGTAAATGCGTTCTCGGCTTACTATATATGTATGTCTCATCTTAATTCAAAATAGTAGTCATAACAACATGAACAAAGAAATAACATTTAAAACCAAGTCCATGACACAGTATGATATAAAAGACGAGTGTGTAATTGTGAGGGTGCACAGGAAAAATACAAGAAGTACAGTTATTACTACAAAACACAAGAAACATTTAAACAAGTTTAAAAGAGAAAACAAAATTTGAAAGCCCTCAACGATTATAAGCAAGGTGATTCTTTACATACATTGCTAAAAAATTATTCACTAATTTAAGAAAGAAAAAAAAATTTGTTTGAAATAATTACAATTGTGCTTGTTTATTTTGTAATATTGAAATTGTCATATAGTACTTCTAACTACTCATTGATTTTATTTTTTGCCTCGTAACAGTAGTAACAGATAAAAAAGAAATTATAACCGTAGCAGAATACCCTAAATGTATTTAAGGTACATATGTGACCCCGGGCATTCATCTCTATAAATGTTTGGGAGATTAAATCGAGGGAATCTGGGGATTAAATGTAGTTCTAACATGTTACATATCAGTGTTTAAACTTACTCTTGTTCTTATTTATGGGAATTCCTAGATTTTCTGAAGAAGAAGCATGATTCATTATACTTCAATTTTTACTTCAACATATAGTTTTACAATCCTGTATGTGATAATTGATATCATTTAATAAATAAATAAATAATTAAATTTGACTACTTGCCAAAGCATCTCTTTGGAGCCAGAAGGGTGTTAAGTAATATATTTGAATACAGGAATTAATGCCCTTCTGGCTGTAAACAGACAGAATGATCTCTTTCAATGCTTAGAAGCTTTAATACTGAACATCACCTCATAGAACGTGATATAACCTGTACCCACTTGTCTTCCTCCATCCTGTAGGATTGAGGAGTATTCCGGCAGACGCTACTCTCCAGAGTCTGGGCACAGTGAGGAGGCAGCAAAGGCCTGGGCTATCCTACAAGCTACTGTCTATAACAACACAGGCATTGATAAAGATCATCAGCATGCTGTACCTGTTGTGAGACCTTCAAATAAAACGAAATCTGTGGTGAGTTTTTTTTTTTTTAAACTTATTTTCCTTGGGTCACATAGACTGTCAGTGAAATTTTTCCCCATTTATTTGGTAAGAGTCAAACAGCAGTTATGGGGATCACATGAAAATGTATTCCAAGAAACAAAACATTTTATTTAGTTGCAGAAGGTTTCGCGAGGGGCACATGAAAGGCTGTACAACAAATAATACACACAATATTAAAAATGCATATAAAAAATATGGAAGCAAAAATATATCTAGGAGTAATATACCTAATGTGATTTAGTCACGACTCAAAATGTTAGGTTTTCCTTTGAACAGTCATTCCTTTTTTGTTATACAGTACTGTAAAACCAGATATAGCAGAACTGTATTGTTGACCATTTAGATAATGAATTACTTTGCAGGCTGAAACAATCAGGGATCTCCGCCTTATGCAAAAGTCACAAAAGTTTCATTCATGCATGAGTCTTTGGTCTTCAGTAGTAATGCCTCCATACTAACTCTCACTCTCACACCAATATGTATTTGTTATTGCTTTAGATTTGGTATGATTACACTGAAGTGGCCAAGGCATGGGGTTTCCTACTACAAGCATCTGAGACATTAGGAACAAGTTCTTTATTCAGGTGAGAATGGAAAGCGAGAATCATGCAAAAGATGAATAATATTATAATAATAATCTTTAATGGTCCACTCCAAATTTTATGAAACAGAAACAGAAATTTATTTTGCCCAATTGATTGTGAGCCAGGCAGCCGCTGAGCAGCGCCAGATCGACGTTGCTCTATCCCTTATTGTTGAACGCCAAACAAGGTAGCAACAACTCCCATCTTTTAACGTCTTTTGGTATGACGCGGCCGGGGTTCGAAGCCACGACTTCCCGGTTGTGAGGCAGACGCTCTACTGACTGAGCCAACACTCCAGTGATATGGAGTTATTTTGATTCACAATGTTTAATGTATTTGACCTCTGACCTGTGATGATGACAAGTAAACTGATTTTTAAAAGAACAACAGGATCATGTGTAATTGCAGAAAAATAACTTGTCTTGTAACTTTCAAAAGATCCCTTAAAGCATGTTTCTCCCCTCCTAATTATAATTTGATGTACCTATTTTACGAGTATGGGTTTCATGTTTCTCTTCAAATTCTGTGATTTTTGTAAGTGCTATTGTACTTTTTATGGTTTTAGCGCTCCTAAATTGTGATATTATTGTTGAAATCAATAGTGTTTACTTCATTGCCCCATTCAATCTTTTGTGGCTTTCAGCCCCTCATATGTTCAAGCCTAACATTTTTCACTTCAGTAGTGGTCAATTGTTGATTGACATAAGAATATTCATTAAAAAATTGTCCTCCCAATTTTTCTTCTTCAATAACTCCAGTATTCCCCCAAACTGCAAATATCTTATGAGAAGGTACATACAGTCTTTATCCCCCCTCAGTAAAATTTTGTGTAATTTAACACTATTTTAAATTTCTTTGTTGTAGATATGATCTGGTGGATGTGACAAGAAATGTTCTACAGGACCTTGCTTTTGACTTCTATGAACAAATAATGGCGTCTTTCCATGCCAAGAACATCACAGCTATCAGGTAAGACATTACTCTCTATATAAAGAGGTATTGTGAATATACTTCATCAAACAAAAGCTTAGTGATTTTTTTTTGTCCGGTGCTTATAAGAACGAGAGCCAAAAGCATTACTGATAGGCAATATTAATTTATGGCTGGTTTGTATTTTGAGAAGAAAGACTTCATCTAACTAAGTAAATTCTGGTTTAACTTACACAATAGTGTAAAAGAAATTACGGTAATCATCCTTGCATATAAATTATAACTTCAATTTGATACAAATTGAAGCTTTAATCTTTGTCAATATAACCATATGCAGACAGTGTACTTTATATTTATAAATAAAATTTGTGGTACAGAGATGTTTTGTGAATGAATGGAAATGGTAGAGTATGTGGGTTAATCATTTTTTTCTTCACATCTGTTAAAATACTCCTGGGGGGTGTTTCACAAAGATCCTAAGTTGAACTTATCTCTAAGTTGGACTTAAAAAATATGGAAAGCCATTAGCATCTTTGAAAATATTTTGTAAAAGTTATTTTGAACGGCATTCATATTGAAATCATTCATATTTTCTATCATCAAGGAGATTTCATGTTCTGGATATGGAATTAATAAAAAGTCTAAAATACTTGAATTTCTGCTTTTAAATATATTTCATTTAAAGACTCCAATGGCTGTCCATAATTTTTAAGTCCAACTTAGAGTTAAGTTCTACTTATAATCTTTGTGAAACACCCCCCTGTTCTTTTTATCCACCTTCTTTTCCTATAGAGGCAATGGCACTCTATTATGCAACCTGATTCTTGACATGGATAACATCACTTCCTCTCATCAAGACTGGTTGCTAGGTACATGGCTGGAGGATGCAAAGTCTCTAGCAACCAATCATAAAGTAAGTCCCAGTATAGGATGGCAGTTCGATACATATCTATGCATGTAAATGCTATCAAATTCCAAAGCTTGTAACCTATATCTTAGCAGCGAGGCTTCTATGTTGCAAGATATTGTCTTACATATGATCTAAACGTTATTTAAAGCCCGTCTGTACTACTTTGACCACGAGGGATTAGACTTCCCAGCTTGGTCACTGACAGGTGGCTATCTCATCAACTCAGCTCTCAATTAACATAAGAAAAAGAGGATCACGGAGGACCAACGGGACCGCTTAGGCATTGTTTTCTATATAGAGGGAGCAAGTAGCTAAAAGTAGTACAGTGGGGCTTTAAAGTTAACACCACTGATTATACCATATTTATGAAATTCTCATTGTTTTCCTCCGTTCCTATTGTTTTCTTTATCAGGAAGAATCACTGTATGAATACAATGCAAGGAATCAAATCACTGTCTGGGGACCCCGAGGAGAAGTAAGTAGCACTTGCTCATTCTTGATCATTTAAATTATAAAGAACTAAACCTGGAATCATTACTGGGAGATTGAGCAAAAGTATTGGTTTTTGTATATTTACAAAACAAGTGAAAATATATTTTTTAAATTGATATTTGACAATTTAAAGTCTTCAATCAATATTAGATAGAAAAGACAATATGTGTTAAACCCACATCAACTTGAATTTGCCAAATAAACATTATTGTGATGTCATCATGGCACTTCTGTTCTATTTGTTTGAAGAGAAAATTGGTCAATTTACATAATGATACTATTTTTTTCTGACAACAAGTATCCTTCAAACTCTTGTAATAATAAAAAGAGCATAATTATATGATATTAAAAGGGGGAAAGAAAAATGCAGTGTAGGAAATGATGCTCATGAACTGGGATGTCAATGTAAACTATTAATTTTATCATTAAGATTTATTTGATTAGTTGTAGTATTGCAGTGCTTCTCTTGTAGTTCGTTCAGTCACATATCTTGTTTTGGTTTACCATTTTACAGCATTTAGACTATGCAAACAAGCAGTGGGGAGGATTACTTCGATCGTAAGTATCAATCATTGCTATACACCTCTTTACAAAATTATTTATATTTATCCAACTATGTATTACTTCATCTCACTAAATACTCATTCTACATCACTGCAAAATATGTTTTGTCATTCATTTTCATTCTACAATCTTGTAACTTACACTTGTATAAATGAAAATCATTTTTTTGAGAAAAACACTTAATTTTTTTCATTATGTTTGTTTTACCTGCATGATATATTATGTCTATTATGTCTCTGTTTTAGGGAGGAAATGATCAAGATGAGAACTGAGAGCTTTGATAGCTCTTAGAGGCTCTAATATACTTCAAAGAATAAGATCTTGGGTAAAAATTAAAAAAAAGGTAAATGAAATTGGCCTAACAAAATGTTTTTTTCATTGCTGAAAATCCAAAGTAGAGCTAGCAACATAATATCTTCTTTCTCTTTTATTAAAAGATAAAGTTGATTTCTGGTCATGCGATTGCATTGTGAAAGAAACGTTGTGGAATCGATCAGAAAAGGTTGATCATCTAGCATATAAGTATTGGTGTGTACTGCAAGGACCTGGAATCATCAAAATGATAAGAAATTTGGCCCAGTCTTGGTAAATTTGTTACAAGTACTGTACACACAAATATGTATATGGGACTACACAAACATGTAGCATACAAATCTGTCCAAATTTTTATGCTGTTACATGCCATATGTAGAATATTAAGGCATTTGAAGAGCCATGCTTTTCATGGAACATTTGTTATCTAATGTTCTTCCACACTTGCATAATAACAATGATAACGCTCACAAATTATTTTCCACCTCTTCCGAGAACTCAACCTTCTCTTTAATACTCATGTTTATTTTAGATGTTATCATAGTTGATGGCACCTCTATGTGTAGTTCTTGGTTGGACTCATAGAACTTTATGTACTTAATGATCAAAGCAAGTAGAGATGAGATATTTACACACGTCTTGTGATACAAAAATTGGCACAATATTATCCTTGCCAAAAACTGTTAGTACTGTACCTACATAAAGTGGACTTGATCCATTTTGAGAATGACTTATTTAGATAATTATGTATATATTATTTTTTTGTATTTTAGGTATTATTATAATCGATGGCAACTGTTTGTGCAGTTCTTGGATGGATGCATAGAACTCCATGTACCTTATGACCAAAGCAAGTTCGATATGAGATCTTTTATCATGGAAACTGAATGGACTAACAGCACAGAGAAATTTCCCACTAAACCTGTTGGTAAGTGCCATTTGCAGTCAGCTTGAAAACCCAATTCACCACCCTGCATTGTTGTTGGTACTAATGATAAATATGTAGAATTTACATTATGTAAGAAGATATGTACAAGTACTAGGAAATCAGGTGGTCTAAATCTGGAATGCTAGAAAATAAAATTTGAGGAAATCCATAATCAGAGGTTATATGACAAGCGCATGCAGACAAGGAAAAGTTTTTATTTGCTTTCAAATATTCAATTATATTTCAATTATTAGCTGCAAAAAAAGAACAAGCCATTTGTATGATAAATGTGCCAGTGATTTGTGTAACAAGTTACATTTTATCAACCAGAGAGGCGAAGATACTAGACAAGTTTTACGTGTCATTTTCCTTCAATTTTCACGCAATTTCCTATTATATTTCGTCTTTTATGAGGACATTTTTATTGTGTGTTTTTTGGGGGGAGGGGGGGGGGGGGTGTTAGTCTTGTTGACCCTTCAGAAGCTCTACCTCAATGGAATTTAAAATCTGTGCAGTATTTTATAAACATGCAATTACTGTTCATATGCAGGAGATACCGTGTCCATATCCAGAGCCCTCTACAGCAAGTATGAGCCGTACATCAAGGAAGCAAGAACAACTGGGAGGGCTAAGAAGAGGATAGAGGAGGGAAGAAAGCACAGTGCAAGACAGGAAAGGTTACCATACTCCTACATGTATGTTTAGTGATGTGTGAGAGAGAGAGAGAGGACCCGAGTACTACCTCGCTGATCAAAGAGGGCAATATTGGTATATGTATGCTTCTTTTGGTAGCTTTTTTTCTGATTTATGTCAAAATTTGACTCTGCTCAAGGTGCAATTAATAATAATAATAATAATAATTTGTTCTTTTATAGCTCATTTCATGTCTGTTGACATTTCAATGCGCTTTACAATTTTACAATATACATAATTATTTAAAGCATAACATGATCATAAAAGGAAGATGAAACAAAAAAATATTTAGAAAACAATGAAGTGCTTACAAAAAGAAAAATTATAACATTACTTATCCTTAAATACTATCGATGTGCTAATTTGAAGAGATGAGTTCAGATATGAATGTTTCAATATTGGATATACAACGTAATGAGTTTGGGAGGGAATTCCATAGAAATGGTGCTATATGAGTGAAGGCCCTATCACCATATGCTTTTGTTCTGCCTCTCTTAGCTACAAGGAGGTTTTGAGATGCAGAACGCAAAGACTTTGATGGAACATATTGTAAGACAAGATCAGAGAGATATTCTGGAGACAGACCATTGAGTGATTTGAAGGTTAGCAAAATAATTTTGACTGGATACGGAATTTAACTGGGAGCCAATGTAAATCTTTGAGGATGGGTGTTATGTGTTGACATTTCTTTTGCAGGGAAACCAGACGTGCGGCAGAGTTTTGAATTTGTTGTAACTTGTTCATATCTTTATCGCAAATACCAATGAGGAGACTATTACAGGTGTCCAGAAGTGAGGATACGCAAGAGTGAATGAGAATTTCAGTTGAGGCTTTATTCAAAAATCTGCGGACTTTGCCTATTCTTCTAAGAGCAAATGATGCTTTGCGGCACACAGTATTAATGTGGCTGCGCAGAGACAGATGGTTGTCCAGAATAACTCCGAGATTGCGAACTGTCTTGGAACAATGAACTGGTGTATTATTAACAGATATTGGTAACAACTCATTCGATTGTCTAAATTTAGAAGACAGATGAAGAATTTCCATTTTACACATATATCCAGTTTCTGTGTTATGTGGTTGATTTCATCATCAATTTTACAATTGATGGGATGGTCAACCCAGATTTTGGTTTAATGATTTCATTCCAGGTGATTTCACTCACGCATACTCACTCCTAAACACCATTCATCCCAAACATGGGTAAGGGCAATTTGATGATGATGATGATCAGCATTTGTATGGCGCCATATATCTGTTTCAGATAACATTCAAAGGCGCAAGCTCCTCCAATAAAGTTTGAGTGAAGCTTTGAAGTGGTCCAGGTTGTCAATTTCGCGAATAGATGATGGGAGGGAATTCCACAGGCGAGGAGCAATAGAAGAAAATGCTCGGTCTCCATATCCCTTGAGATGAGTAATGGGCATCTTGGCATCTAGGTGCCCAGCCTATCCAAGACCATAATATTAACTCCATGAATCATGCCATCATCTTTTACAGAAAGATCACTTTGTCTTTAAGATAGTGGGACTGGAATATTGATTTCCTTTATACTGAATCACACTAAAAACTTGGCTTCCAAATCTACTTTTTTTCTTTCTGTGGGTTAATGTAATAAAATAAATTATAGGCAAGCATTTTAGATGTTCATAGTACTAATAATACCACTACTAAATTACTATGGATACAGTATTAGCACAGAATTGGATGAAAACAAGGCTTATTGCATGTATTAAAGTACATGTAGCAGGAAGGGAGTGAGTGGGAGAGGCAGAGGACTTTGAATAGTAAGAACAATGAATTAGATGATGTATATATTTCAGTTATATATTTTCTACCAAAGGGTAGGGTCTTTTTTTTTGGTGAATGGCTGAAATTGTTAATGTCATTATACATGTTGTTTGATCAGGAAAGAAGTCTATTTATCATTTATATTTTGTATATTTTTTTTGTGCTAGAAAACTCAGTATTACTCAAATGAAATGAATGTTTTGTAGAAAGAAAGAATTTGTGTTTTCATTCAACAATTTTTGCTGTTGCCTATGTTGCCATTCAACTCCAGGATATTAAAACACTGTGCAAAGTATGTACAGGTTCAAATGTGTAAACAATTTAAAGATTTTATAGTAATGTTTATGTACGATACCATTACCAGTATTTATTATTCTGAAATTACTTTATTTTTTATAATGGTTAGATAATATTTTTATTTTGTATTTAATTAGGCACTCTGTTGAAACACCAAACATTTCTTTGGATGTAGCAAAGGGTTTAAAAAACTGATACAGGGCTGCATCCCTGATTGAAATATTAATGAAAATAGAACAAATATCACAAGATACACATCATAAAACAAGTATGGTTAAGCCTAAGTCACACTAGAGATATGCTTCTACTTCTACTTCTACTTCTATGGTAATACTCATCAACGCCTGTTCAGCATCTAGATGAGGGTAAAGCATAGAGTTGTTATATACAGCTCTATGCGGTACAGTTCCTAAAAAGGGAACTAAATTGTTACAAGAGCCACGACGATGATCTGAGGTAGCTTGTCCCAGTCCTGGTGAAATAATAAGTGTCCATTGAAGAGCCTAGTCTCATATATCGATGTTGTTGACTCCTCCTTGTAGTTCGCTCCCTCGGTTTGAAGTAATCCGGTATTGGTATCGCAATTTTTTTATTTGCTATCTTGTAGAACATTGACAATCGTGCCTGTTTTGTTTTTTCTAAGTTCAAGAGTTGGGAGATTAAGTTGTTCTCACATGGATGTTACATGTACACTGGCATCACGCTGGTAGTTTCCACAAATGAAACAAAGTGCTCGTCTTTGGATCTTCTCTAGTTGGTCTATCTGATTCTGCTTGTTGGGGTCCCATACTACCGAAGCATACTCTAGCTGGAACCGTAGGGGCGAGATGTATGCCAGTTTTTTCACTTCTGTTGAACATTGTCTTCCGAGATTTCTCTGAATGAATCCCAGGGTCCTCGAGGCCTTGTTTGTGATCGCATCTACATGCGATTTCCAGCTTAGACGCTCATGTAGCTCGATTCCGAGATATGCTTTGCTGGCCACACTTAGAAGATCAATTTTCAATTTCAATTTCAATTTCAATCTAGTATTTATTGTCCATTTCTGGATATTTGATTTTCACTGGTGTAACATACACAGATTAACATTTACTAATGTATTTTACAAAAATGTAGACATTAACAGTGAATAAACAAGGTTTAACATAATGGGTAAGCACAGATTAACAAAGGATCGAATGTTGTTTTATAAACACTAATTCAGAACAATAGTTAACATAGTAAATGAAGCAGAGCAAGAGGAGGTGTCAGGTGATCAAACGATTTAACAGGTGAGGTAAATATAAATATACTGATATACTGAGGAGGTTTGGTATCCAATCTACCCATACATGTATTTTTGTCTTAAACCAATTTGGGATTTATTAATTAGATTAAATATGATATTAAAGTACAACACTGGGTCTTTGAGACATTCCGTTGTACATATGGATGGAGTTTGCTATGAATGATTGCCGAGTTCTCACTCGTGCAGACCTGGGCACACACAAACGAAAGCCTGACCTATTGTAATTGTAATTAGTGTGAAGCGGGTGGGTGGGGTCGTTCATGATTCGTTTGACTTTAGCAACTACTCTTTCTTCATACAGTGTGGATACTGCGTGTAGGCTACTGCCAATTATCCGTTGTGCTACTCTCTTCGTACCGTCTAACTTCTTCTTATCTTTTTGAGTTGCATTCCCAAAATAGCATATTATGTTGTATGTAGCTACACTCTCTATCAATGATCTCCCCTCATAGTACAAGTGTGCATAATGGGATGCCTCTTTCTGTGAATTCGCATTGAGTAGCATTTCTTGGCGTTGAATTGCATTTGCCAACGATCAGCCCACTCCAAAAGTCTGTCCATATCTGATTGGAGTTTTGCCGTGTCATCTACAGATGCTATTCTCTGCATCAAAAGGCAATCGTCCACAAATAATTTGATTGTAGAATCAACATCGTCACCAATGTCATTTATGAATAAGAGGAACATCAGAGGACCTAGAACTGTGCCCTGAGGCACTCCTGATGTGACATGAACCGACGTTGAAGCCTCTCCATCAACAACCACTCTTTGAGTCCTGGTAGTCAACCAAGTTGATATCCAACTTAGGGTCACATCACAAATTCCGTAGTATTTCAGCTTACTTAAAAGCAGTTGATGAGCAACCTTGTCGAAGGCCTTGGAGAAGTCCAAAATTATTACGTCTGTTTGATGGTTGTTTTCTAAAGAATTGGATATTTCTTTTACCGTAGTGATGAGTTGGGATTCGGTAGAATGATTCTTGCGGAAATCATGTTGATACTTCAAAAGTATATCATTTTCATCCAGATGTTCCATGATGGAGTGAAAGATCACATGTTACATGAGTTTAGATGTGACACATGTTAGAGAAATAGGTCTGTAATCATATCTGGCTTGCATTTATTCCCCTTTTTATAAACAGGTACAATATTAGCAATCAACCAGTCCTGTGGTTAGGTTAGATTGAATGAATTTGACACGGAGTATAGGGGCTATTTCCTTTGCATATCCCTTCAAGATCCTGACAGGAATCAGATCTGGGCCACAAGCTATATTTGAATTGAGAGATTTAAGCATTCTTTCAATCCCTTCCAACGTAAAAGTTATGTTTGACATCGACACATAAGGACTTGGTCCTTGTCTGGTATTGCCTCTCGGGTTTCGTTTGTAAATACAGATTTATACTGATTATTGAGGGCCTTAGCTTTTGAAAGGTTGTCTGTCACAAGTCCATAAGCTGTCTTCAAGGTGGGAATCGTTCCCGAGTCCTTCTTCTTGCTGTTAACGAATTTCCAGAATCTTTTGTGTGATTGTTTTTCATCGTTGCTGTCCATAAATATTCCATTTATGTACTCCTCGTATAATTTTCTCATGCTAGCTTTGACGGCCTTTCTTGTCTTGAAAATCCAGCCAATCCTGTAAATTCTGTCTTCAATAGTATGATCAGGAAGTTTAAAATGCTTGGCAACTGAAAGGCCAAGGTCTGGCATTCAGACATGTACTAGACTGAATGGACTTGTGGTACACTGGGAGTTTTATTTCTTGTAGGTATATGCTATGAATGATTTTCACCCAATGTCTCCTTTTCTTAGTGTTATCACAAGTGCATTTGCAACTCAATACACTTCAATAGTATGACCAGCAAGATTGAAATGCTAGGCATTTGCCATTTGGTAGATAATTCAAATTCCCTTGCAGAGGGAAAAGAGGCTCCTTGGCTCGGCTTGTGCTCTGTTTGCACATATCGTCGCTGATTTTTCTAACCGGCATATGTTTCCCTGCATCACAAAAAACAAGAAGTTTCTGAGATAATCATGCTTAAAGACAGCGGCCCATTTAAAATGCTAATTTTGATACCGTAATTTTATTCAATCAACACGGAATTACACATGTGAATATTTTCATTCATATACACTCAATATTACAGAAAGAATGTTCATGGTCAAATTTGTTTGCCGGTTCGTAAAACTACTTGTTTCGCGCATTTTGCATAAAACGTGAAGTTAAGAAATAAATTTCAACAAACCTTATAAAAATTAAAGCAATTGTGTAATATATATATATATATATATAATTTCAATTGTTGCGATTCAAATTAAAGAAATACAAATTCCAATTAACAGGTGAAATATCTGCTGTGCTATTAACTGACCAACAGCAGCTAACGGGATGTTGTCAGAGTCTGATTCAACCTCTTCTTCCTGCGTATCTATCTCCATCAGTTCTGTATCGCTATCCATTTCCTCACCAGGTTCAAGAACTGTCACAGAGAGCAACAGAAGTTTAAGGGCAGTTTAGAAATGAATGTCACAGATGCAATATTCCTCATCAGTCTTGGTTTATTCATTAGGATGGTTCCTTGAATTTGTATTTGTGGACCATCAGCTTCGTCCCATTCTTTTCTGCTCAAACGACATGGTTCGCCACCTCGCCTTGCATTGTATAGAGTAAGGCGTGAGACAATCAAGTTCCTAAGCTCTGGGAATCCTTTACACACTTCAGCTAAATTATAGACCTTCTTGGTAGTGATTTCCAGCAATTTTGTAAGAGTGTAATTTCTCACAAGAGTAACATCATCCTCAAGTGGAAGTAGGTTTGGTTTCCTAAGTTTCTGCTTCTGACTCTTGTTGGTGGCATAAACAGCATCGATTGCTCCTGATTTTGCATCCTGCCATCATTTAATGAAAAGTCTGCTTGGTTCCATTGTTAGGCGTGCCACTATGCAATCACGTAGCTCTACAAAACGATGCTTGTCAATGAATACCAGCTCATTTCCTACAAGCTCATCGATTCTGCCTGTCGTGTACTCTCTGAGATGCTTTATGTCTGATTCTAGAGACTGGCCACTGTACTGTAGGCCTTCTCAACTTTTCCTCTCTGTTCCGATGTAGATGGTAGGTGGCATCTCTAAACACATTGGCCCGTATTCTGAAGTCGTGTCTAACTCCTGTTTAACTAAACAGTTGTCTAAGTCCCGTCTAACTTTAGACACGAAGTCATGTCTAACTTTTTTCGTATTCTGAAGTCGTGTTTAAATAAAGTTTAACACGAAGTCCTGTTTAAGGGCACGATTCTAATGCTTTTTAACGTCGAAGGTACACTCTACTTGCTTACCCCGAACTTGCGGGGGAGAACCATTGGTACGTGCATCCTCTAAAATTTCAAATACGTTTTGCAGGATTTTTTCTCGATAATATTAACTATTCTTATCTACTGGTGACATCTTGGAAATTCCATAATCTATAATAAGCTAACCATTCTGTTGGAGAAGTTTCTTTTCTGGTTCTTCCGAGCACTGAGGCACTGATAGGTAGTGTGTTTGTCAATCCAGTGTACAGTACTTGTACAGCACGTACACAGTACATTACGTCACGATCACATCACCATGGTACCAGCACGCGCACAGCTAGCTGTGCACGTTAATTTATTTATCCGGTGCGCGCACGCATGCGCATTGGGTCTTTCGTCAGAATTAACGCCTACTGGGCATGCGCAGAAGTCGTGACTAAAGTTAAA